AGGCTGGGGTCATAAAAGTCCTTGATTTACACTCAGAAGCGCAAGTGACTGAGACTTGCAACTTGCCTGTGGAACTGGGACAGTGTATGGGACTGTCTCCCTTTAACTTGTGGAATCTGATGCTAATTTCACAAAGACAGTGTCAAACTTAAGTGAACTTAAGTGAACCAGTCACTCTCTAGAGAATGGACAAAGCAGCATGTGTCTAGTGTGGGGCAGGGGACCCCACAGTATGTCTCTCAGCTCATTGGCCTCACTGGCATCTTGTCCATCTCTGGACTGTTTGGGGCAGGAAATGTCCCCAAAACTCCACCTAGATCCAATGTGGAAATCCTCCACTTAGGTCCTAACCTCTGCTCTCTAAACTTCCCATGCCTGTGGTCACCAAAGGGTGTCTACAGACATGATGTGACTTATGGGACTCAGGTCACCAGTTCCTAGCACAGAACTGAGCTGACAGTCTCAGGCCATATTGCTGGAACAGCGTATATGCACATGGATAGAAACCCTGGATAGAATCCAAGGTCCTCTAACAACACAGACAAGTCTCCAGATTCTTTCTGAGGAGCCAGAAGGCTCCGCACCAGGACTGCAGGACAAAGTCCACACGCTGCCCTGGCACGGAGAACCAGGAATAAACATTCCCCTAAGGGCAGTAAAAGGGGAGGCCAGGACAAGCAGGGCTTTGGGTGTCCATGAATGCGGCAGTGGCAGTGGCAGGGCCTACAGGTCAATCGCTACTTTGTACCACACTTCTCTTCCGATGTTTTCCCCACTGTACTAGGGACTTTCCTGGGCACTGCTTGAAAGTATTTTTTGTTTTTTTTTTGGTTTTTTGAGACAGTTTCTCTGTGTAGTCCTAGCTGTCCTGGAACTCACTCTGTAGACCAGGCTGACCTTGAACTAATAGAGACCCACCTGCCTCTGCCTCCCAGGTGCCGGGATTAAGGCGTGGGCCACCACTGCCCAGCTTGTAAGCATTTTTTATTTCACATCATTTATCTCCATCATCACTTGTTTTAAAATCTCTAGTAACATGAATTCTTGGAAAGCGGCCCTTTTATTTCGTTAATAGTGGACAGGAGATAACAGACTGGCTATACCGTTTAACTGGTGCACGTGGCCAGGCGTGGTGGCACACACCTTTAATCCCAACACTAGCAGGTGGAACTCTGAGTTCAAGGCCAGCCTGGCCTACAGAGTGAGTTCCAGGACCACAGAGAGACCCTGTCTCAAAAGAAAGAAAAAGAAAGGGTGTGCACGCAGTGTGACAGTGGCAGAAGCCTCCCCTAGCCAAGGTGCCACTCTGGTGCTTCTCTCACCAGATGTCAGGACAGTAGAGTGGCATGAGGACAGAGCACACATTCACTTGACTTTCATCACTGTGGTAGTCTCCTGCTGCGCTGACTTCATACATTAGTCTTTATTGCAGGCATGTACAGACAGGAAAAGCACAGGACATTCAGGGTTTAGTACTAGCCCTCATTAAGGCATGCTCTCAGGGGTCTAGGAACATATCCCAGCATATAAGGGGTACTGCTATAAATCAATTCCTAGACACATTCTACAGGACTTTCCTAAATTATGTCAGAGCAACTTAGAAGTCAAATAAAGGCAAGAACACTTTCATATCGAGCACTAACAAACCATACAGCTCCAGCACAGTACCACAAAACTGTCCTGTCAACAAGAAACCAAAAGGAAGAAGCAAGACTGCCCTGCAGCTAAGAGATGGTCTTGTGCTAAGAAGACGTGTCTCAGCTGGGAAAACGTTAGCTGTGCAAGCATGAGGCCTGGGCTGAAATCCCCAGCAGGTGTGTAAAGCCAGGTGCAGTAGTGCACATCTGTAATCCCAGGGCTTGTGTGGGGAGATGGGGCAGACGGAAGAACCCCTGGAAGCTTGGGCAGGACACCCTGTCTCAAACAAGGTGGAAGGTGAAGACTAAGACCAGGAGTTGTCTTCTGGCTTCCACAAGCACAGCTGCATTCATAGTCTGTCTGTCTGTCTGTCTCTCTCTCTCTCTCCCCCCCGTGTGTGTGTGTGTACGTGTGTTTGTGTGTGTGTGTGTGTGTGTGTGTGTGTGTGAGAGAGAGAGAGAGAGAGAGAGAGAAAGGAATAACAGATGATCTCACGAGAGAGACAGAGGCATAAGAGACGATCTCACGGCCAGGCCATCTTTGGAGGATGCTGAGGGGAAGATGTGAAGTCCTGTGGGGCTTGAAGGAGGGAGGACAGGTAGAAGACTCCCTCTCAATAAAAGAGTCTCTCAACCAATTTTCCCTCCCACTGCTGTTCAGACAACTACAGCTCACAGAGTTCGTAGAGGACAGCTCCCAAGCAGGCACTAATCACACTTCCCTGCTTCAAATCCTCCCAGAGGTCTGCACTGTGCCTGCACTGTGCACAGGGCTCTTCATCATCTGGGAATAACTCGGTCCTGTCTAGGCCAGCCAGTGAAACTTAGCTCCAGAGCAGAGGTGTCTTCAGGGGACGGCCCTGCTCAAGGCCTCCTCCAGCCTCTGCTTGCCCTGTGCAGTCAGCCAGTCCCTGGCACACTTCCCAGAGTGTTTCAAGACCCACTGCTTGGGACAGCAGGCTCCATGCTGCCTTCCTTCACTCTTTCCATGGCACATCTTGAAGGAACCCCATTTCTGGGTTCTGCCTCCCTCCCTCTCAGTCCACTTACCCTCCTCTCTGTGGGCTCTACCTCCCCTCTCTAGAGCTCCAACTGCACACGCTTTCCTCCATCCTCTCCGGCAAACCCTCAGCCCCACTCCTTCCCTCACTCCTCCTGCCTTCCCTCACTCTTTTAAAGCCATTTTTTCCCTTGACAATTAGAAATACAGGGAGGGCAACAAAAATGCAGAACAAAACCAAACACCTTTATTGCCACGAGTTAAAAGAGGCCATCAAGAGTGCACTACCATAACACATTCACTTCCAGTTTTCTTTTTTCATAGAGGAACACAGCATAAGATGAAGTATCTCTGATTCCCACTGACCATCCTCTTCTGCACCCTCCCATGCAAATGCTAGCACCTATGGAGCACACAGCAAGCCTTCCAGTCCAGTCTGGTACTTTCCTGAGCAAGGAAAGTAAGTTTGCACTCTCCCAGAACTAACACAGTAATATCGTAGTGTCAACCTTCCTTTTCAAAAGGTCACCAACTCTGCCCATACAGACGCTCAACAGTCGGTTTTCTGGTTCCAGGGATCTTTCATTACTGACCTCATTGCTTCTACTGTCCCCAATGACTGGAGGTCTCCTCAGTGTGTGCCAACCCGCATCCCCACGTACCATCTTACACCTCCCAGTGACCTGCAGAGAAGATGTTCCAAATGTATAAGGCTAGCACAGGGCACAGCTGGCACATGTTTCAAGGATGGCTGGGTCTAAGGCTGTGCCCAGCCATTGGGCTGCCCTCTTCCTAACAATATCCACCTCAGCACTCCTCCAATGCCAGGCATTCTGCTTGAATCTCTCCTCAACTCTCAAGATCCCATGAGTTACACTCACTCCCCCCACCTTCAAGACATGGACACTGTGGTGGTTTAAAAGACAACAGCCCCCAAAGGGAGTGAATGGTACTACAAGGAGGTATGATCTTGTTGGAATAAGTGAAGATCTGAGGCCAGCCTGGTTTACTGAGCAAGTTCCAGGACAGCCAAGCTTAGGCAGTAAAGGAAACCATGGAAAACAGAAAGCTGGTGAACAAGGGGGCCATGTTCCAGCCCTAATAAACAGCAGAACTTGGCAACTTTGGCCACATGGTTCTGGAGTTAAGGATAGAAGAAAAGGGCTATGGAATATGCCTCTGAGACTAAGGAAAGCCACCAAGGCCAGGCTCATGTCAGGGGTACCCTGAATGGAGGCCAAGAGAGGCCACTGCGTGAAGCTGTGAAATTGAAGCCTGGATTGCCTTGGAGACCCCAAGATGTTAGAGATGCCAGGGTCGTGGGATACCTGCCGAGGAAAGCTGCTAACAAGGAGTAGAACCAGCCCAAGAGAAAGAAGTGTGTTACAGTCAACAGAGTTGGAGATCTGAAGAGTGCTTTGACATCAGACATGCAGATGCAGAGTTTGGAGTTTGCCCAACTGGTTTTCTGTCTTGCTTTTGTCCAGTATTTCCTCACTATGCTCCCTTCCCTATGTTTTGGAATGGTAATGTATTTCCTGTGCCATTATATGTTGGAAGTAAATGATCTGTTTTTTTTATTTTGATTTTATAGGGAATTACAGTTAAGAGATTGCATGAATCTCAGAAGAGACTTTGATTTTTGAACTTTTGCATAAGTTTGAGATTATTATAAACTATGGGGACTTTTGAAGTTGGACTGAATTTATTTTTGCATTATGATATGGCTACAAGCCTTTGGGGGCCAGGGAGTAGAATGTGGTAGTTTCAAAGAAAATAGCCCCCAAAGGGAGTGGCACTATTAGAAGGTGTGGTCTTTTTAGAGTAGGTATAGTCTTGTTGGAGGAAGTGTGTCACTGTGGAGGTGGGCTTTGAGGTCTCATATATGCTCGAGCCAAACTTAGTAAGACAGACCACTTCCTGTTGCCTACAAGTCAAGATGTAGGACACTTGGATACTCTTCCAGCACCATGTCTGCCTGCACACCACCATGTCACACCATGATGATCATGAACTAAACCTCTGAAAATGTAAGCTACCTCAATTAAATGTTCTCCTTTATAAGAGTTGCTGTGGTCATGGTGTCTCTCACAGCAGCTGGAACCCTAACTAAGACAGACACCAAAGCTGGAGCACACACTGGAGCCTTGCTGTGTAAACTGTAATTTCACACCTTCAGAGTCCAGCATCTGCCTATCAGACTAAATGTCAGAGTCACTTCAGGGAGGTGGAGAAAGATGAGATCAGGGTCTTGAATGGTCAGGTCAGGACTGCCAGATGACTTTTCTCATATTGTTATCCCAACATCTAGTCTCTGATCAGTACAGTACCGGGGCTGCTGGGCACAGGGACGCGACACTTACGGTCATGGACCTTGTAGCAGTGGTTCTGCAGGCGCTTAACCTCCCACTCCTCCAGCACACCATGAGTCATCAGCAGCTGGAGGAAGCGCCGATGGACATCCGTCATGGCACCCGCTCTTCTCGTGCTGCCCTGCATGTCGGAGGGAGCTGAAAAAGAAGTGTCACAGTCATGTCCATGCACACAAGAGCAATGGTGGTGGGTTTGCACTAGTTTATGTTGACAAGCAGACACTGCTTGTGGTTCTCAAAGTTCAGCTCCTGGTGCTGATGGCTCCAGAGTGGAAAGAACAGGGGTCAGGGCTCAAGCTCGTTCCACTGGCTTTGAGCAGTGTGAACTGAGAGCTTCTGGAGCCACAAGTGGTTCACAGCCCTCCTGGACTAACTACTTATGAAGTGGTAAGCGGGCAACTAAAGTCTCCATAGTGGGAACAAGGACAGAAATGTTCTCCTAAGAACTCCTATAACTGAGGTGAGTTAACCCAGCTAACAGTGCCACAGCAAGCACCCAGCCTGTGCCAATTACTACTGGACAGTTCTGAGTCTGGCCCCTCGTGGGATCACTCACCAGCTCAACAGCCTTGGAGAAACTAAGCCAAGGCTTTGAGTTCTCCCTATAAAGTACGATGCCCACTGCTGAGAACACACCTGAGAATCACTTAGTAGACTCTACTTTCCTTCCCCTCTCCCCAGCTGCCAATAAAACATCTGTCACAGGAGGACTGTGGGCTATTTCTACAGTCCTTTGCATTCTCTCAAAAAGGTATCTTTTGGGTCCAGCAAAATGGCTTAGCAGGTAAAGACATTTGCCACTAAGGCTCACATCCTGAGTTCAATCCCCGGGATTCACGTGGTGGAAGAAGAGAACCAACTCCTGCAAGCTGTCCTCTGACCTCCACACGAATGCGATATGGCATGTGTCGGTCCACACCCACATAGAGACACACATACATACAAAAATAAAGGTAATAAAAACGTATCTTTCTACAAACCACACAGATCAGAGCTGACAAACACACACCACAAGGCGATCAAAACACCTGCTCCTACCAGGCAGGCGGGGCCCTGTAAGCACTAAGCACATGGGTTTGAAGCTGGATGGAGGCACTGAGAGCCATGCTGACCAGGCCTGCCTGGTCCTCACACACATCTGAACTGGACTACAACTGAGCCCCTTTGCCTGACTGTTGCTTGTGGCACAGCTCAGCATCCTGAAGCAGTTGCCATTCACCTGAGGTGATCCTGTGTTCCAACAAGCATATTGCCAAGATGTTAGGCCAACAGAATGTGGACACACATTTAGCTATTATGTTCAGTCTGTTTGTCTATAAAGCAATAAGAAAACGTATCTTTAAGGCAAAAAAAAGTATTAAAAGTGAGATAAGACTACCAAAGGCTTACCAAGAACTCAGAGAAAAAAAGACACATAAAAATATGCCACTGTAGTCACAGCTTCATGGGCTGGCCCTCTGAGCTAGAAAGGCACACTGCCCAATGGCCACTTTCTCTGCCTGCCTGCCAGTCATCTTGAAGAACACCTCAACAGCATAGACACTTCAACAAGCCCTAGGCCTGCCCCTCTCCTTCATCCACTCTTGTCCATGCAGGCCAGGCAGTCACACACACCAGCACCCCACTCTGGTCCTCCTCTCTCTAAACACAAGGAGAGACTAGAAAAAGGAAAACCCTGCAGAGGATACCCAGGAAAATGCCACGAGACTTGGAGGCTATGCTGACCCCCTGAGCAGAGGGCCAGTACTGCACTCTGGAGTAACCAACAGCCTGTTTCCCACCCCGTCAACTAGGTTTCTGAAAATGAGAGGAGTCGGACTTGTGTTTATTTGTTTTTGAGAAAGAGTCTCACTAGGTAGCCCTGGTTGTCTTAAAACGCACTATGTAGACTATGCTAGCCTCAAGCTCATAGAAATCCTCCTGCCTCTACCTGCCTGTCTCCTGAGCATGCTGAGATAAAAAGCATGCACTACCATGCCTGGCTCAGATTTTTCTTTCTTAAATTTAATTCTGTCTTCCCAGATTGCCGGCTCAATGAATAAGCATAGCTTAAGGATTCAATTTCTGCCTTTGCGTGACAGGCAACATGAATTCTGGTTACACAATTAGATTAATAATAACAATGAAGAAAAATAGCTCAATAATAGAGAGCTTACCTAAAATGCACCAGGCCCTAGGTTCAACCCTGGGATACAGGAGGGGGAAAAAGGAGAGGAGAAGGGAAGGGAAGGAAGGAAACCGATTTAAAGATTAAAAACTCTTAGACCAGATTTTAAAAGTATGTACATTACTTCTAAATGCTAGAAACCAATCTATCCTGCAAACTGAGAGCTAATGTGGTTTTACTGAATCAAAATAGACTTTATGGTAAAATAAATAAATAAAGGATTAGCAGAAATAAAGATCATCACAGAGTGGCAAAAGGTCACACAAGAATACACAACTACTTAAAATGTTTAGGCCTTTATCATGAGGCCTCACGAACCTCAAGGTCAGTTCACTGGGATCACGGCAGCACACACTAGTCCACACTAGAGTGGGAGAGTTCGGTCCTCTGACTCACAAGGTGGACACAGCAGAGCACAGGGAGAGGTGATGTGCATGACAGCAAAAGCTGAGGGGGTTGACTGTGCCCACCATGCTGGCTGCAGAGCAGGATGAGCCGAGGCAGCCAGAGAGCCAGGCTACAGGCTACTGACTACAAGGCAATGAAGTCTGAAGCCAATACCAAAGAAATGACTTTAAAAAAAGTCCATTTGTTCAGAATTCAATGAATGTAGTTACAAATAATCCCTTTTAGCCAGTTCTGGTGATGTAGGGGCCCCAGGATCCCAGTCCTTGGTAGGGTGAAGGCAAGAGAGAAGGAAAGAAAGGAAAGACATAAATAATCCATTCCAGTAATGACATCATTCACTCAACGCAGTGGGAGACAGAATAAATGGGAAAAGCAGATATGGAGTCAGTACACACAGAAAACAAGTTGATAAAATGTACTCACACTAAAAAAACCAACAAACATGGAATGGAGGGAATTGTGTGCATGCACGAGTATGTGTGATGCTGGGGGTCCAACCCTGGCTGAACCCATGCTAGACAGGCTCTCCACCACTGAGCTACGCTCTTGTGCTGAAAGAATTGCCTCTTATCTACGAAATGGCACATAAAAATAACTGCAGCAAACACAGATGAAAGCAGCCACTTCAAAATGCAATTGGAATCAATGCAAAGCCAATCGAAATTTAAGCAGGCTTTGTGAATTACCTGAATGTGACTGACGAGCTGATTCTAAAACTCACTACAGACAGAGCATCAAATATTTTTGAACAAAAGGTGGGAAGACTTGTCCTACCAGATATCAAAAACAGGATTAGTGAACAAACTGTGGCAACGGTACAGAAATTGACAAGTGGACCAATGGAACAGAATGGAGAGCTCAGGAAAAGGTACGAGTGTGTGTGGAGACGTGGCATGCTGCAGAACGGGGCTCAGGCCAAAGCAAACCTTCTGTGAAAGATGCCATGGTAGGCTCACAAGATGACTGTCAGTGGTAGTGATGCTTGCTGCCAAGCTCAAGTCTGACAACCTGAGTTTGATCCCCAGGCCCACATGGTGAAAGCAGAACCTATCCTGAAAGAAAGGCATGCAGTGGGATACACCCCCAACCGCGCCCCCACACACACACACAGGAGAGAACCAATCCTGAAAGTAGGCCTCTGACTTCACCTGCATGCAGTGGTATGCACCCAACACACACACACACACACACACACACACACACACACACACACACACACACACACACACACGGTGCTGAGGCCTACAGGGTCATGGTTTTAAAAAAGGAAAGACTTTACAACTTTAAATGACACCATAGGAGAGTATAAAATCCAAGAGTAGAAAAAGATGTCCTTAGAAGATACAAAAGCCACAAAGGACAAAGCATAAAATACACTACTGAATTCATTAAAGAACCTCACCAAAAATACCAAAGCAGAGGAAGGAAGGGGAGGAGGCTACAAGCTGGAAGGTGTTTAAAATACACATAACCACAAGCATCTTTCTTCAGAAGGCATGAAGAACCCCTACAGACCCAGAGGGAAAAATAAAGAGAATGAACACAGAACAGTAAGAGGCTGATGTATAAGCAAGAGTACATTCAAAAGCTGATCAACCTAAATGTGATCAGGCAGGTGAATAAAAAGCCACACTGACACTGTCAGTGACACACACCAGAATCCCAGGACTCAGAAGGCTTTGGCAGGAGGAAGAACCACTTCGAGGTCAGTCTCGACCCCATACCCAGTGAGTTTCAGGCCAGTGTGGGCTATAGGGAGAGACTCTGTCTTTCAAAAAGAAAAGAGAGACAGCTCAGGGGTCAAAGCATGCTGCTCCTGCTGGGGACCAGCGTTCTGCTCCCAGCACTCTCAACAGGCCACTCACAACCACCTGTAAGTCCAGCTCAGGGGACCCAAGGCCTCTGGCCTCTGAGGGCATCATGCACATACCCACACTCAGACACACTTGTACATACATGTAATAAAATAAATCTGAAAAGAGAGAAGACAACAGGAGGGGAAGGGAGAGGAGTGGGGAGAGAGGGAGGGGCAGGAGGGAAAAGCAGCGATCTTCAGTGAGTAAGAGTGGAGGAATGCCTGGGCTGTGACTTCCCTCCACTTCTGGTGGAGTACAGATTTCAGCAAGCTTGCATGGCCCCGGAAACACCATTATTATATACATTCCTTACATAAGTGTCCACACTGGCCCCGGGAAACATGTCCATAGAGGCCTCCTGTAATGGAACTCTGCCAACACTATGAATGTCCATCAACCAAGGAAGAGTCATGAGAGGAATTCTAATCACATCTGGAATCTAGGACAGTGAAGAAGGAAGCAGGGTTACTCACATCAACATGGATGCTGCTCAAAACATACCGCATGCAAGCTGGGCATAGTGGCGCACACCTTTCATCCCAGCACTCTGAGGCAGACAGATGGATCTTTCTGAGTTCAAGGCCAGCCTGGGCTACATTGCCAGTTCCAGGCAGCCATGGATACAGAGAGACCCTGTCTCAAAAGATAAATAAATAGATAGATAGATAAATACATACACACATAAATGAACACAAAATCATACCATATGCAAAGAGCAAGTCACACATTCACACGGGAGGTCAAACACTGAAAGAACTTACTGTACATGGTATTCATCACAGGACCACACAAAGTCAGTGAGACCTACCAACAGCAAGGAAACACAGGCTTCAGAGCAGTGAGTACTCTGAGGAGGAGAGAGGATTCAGTGGTGGTGTGGGGGATGGGATAATGTACTTAATTTGGTGGTGGTACCCATGTAGGTGTTCACTTTTTGTTCTTCATATACTTTTATAGGCATGTAACGTAATAAAAATACACAAATAAAGCCAGCTTAAGTATCAAAGAGAGAAGTGAGGTAGGGAGAGGGGGTCAGAAGTAGGAGTGGAAAAGATGCACAGGAGCGATGCTTGCTTACGGCTATGACAACCATCTAAGAGACTAGAGAGTGGATGAACCAGAGATACTTGCTGCTTACCCAAAGGACTTTAAAACGCCAAGTGTTTGCACAAGAAGCAAACCTTGGGCACTGAATGGGCAGCCTGTGCTAGGCAGTGTTAGTTCTCTGACCACACAAGCCTGGTTTGGAACTCACCAGAACCTCCTGAGGGGCACTTTCACAGAGGAGGGAACTGAAGCTAAAAGGCACCCAGGTGAATGACGGTGAAGGGGGTGGTACTACAAAAGCAGTGTCGGTTCTTTAACCCGGGCACTCAGGAGGCAGAGGCAGGCGGATCTCTTGAGTTCGAGGCTATCCTGGTCTACAAGGAATTTCAGTAAAGAAACTGTGTATCGAAAAACATGATCACACACATAATCATAAATAAATAAAACCACGGTCTAGGTTCCTTATCTACACTTCTCCACTCTTCCCTTTGAGAACTTGGCCTGGGTTAGCGGTGTTATCTGGGGTTATCAGTACCAAGTGCAACATAAAACGGAGCACAGGAATCCTAGACCTTTCCCAAATCGGACGAACGGATGATTCTGAACACATTTAGTCTCGGGCTTTCAAACACGGGCTCCATAAACAAAACAAAGGAGGCCCTGGGGGAGAGGCACAAGGCGGAGGTGGTCGTTTTGGACACAGTGGTACAAGCGGCTATCACCTAACGGTGACAGTGTCAGGCGCACTTTCTCCGCCTGGCCTATTATAAGATAGAGAGGCAGGAGCTACACAAGTTCCGGGTCAGCCTGGGCTACATGGTGAGGCTATGTCTCAAAAAGACAAACATTTAAATTAGCAATAACTTGTTACGGAGCTAGGTCTCAATCCGTGCCCTCTGCGGGCCTCAATATCCCCGTCAGCGCCGGACAACGCTCTCGTACGCTGTGCAGACCCCACCGCTCTCCTCCCGTCGCCCCACGGACGCCCACTTTGGTCCCCGCAGCGCCCCGCGGCCTTCATACGCACCGCACGCCCGGAAGCCGACCAGCAGCGGTCACGCCGGAAGCGGCTCTCGGGGCCCGCCTCCGAGGCGGGGAGAGCTCCAATATGGAGCGCCTATTGGTGAGCTACGCATGTTCATCAGGAGGGTACTTCCGGTTCCCCGCCCGTGCCGTTGCTATGGCGCCTCAGCAGCTGTGGGCCGAGTTTCCCGCGCGGCTTTAGTACTTCCCGGAACGGTTTCCGTCGCCCCCGCTGCCCGCTCGGTGGAGGAGAGCCCACGTTGTGTCTTGTGTGTTAAAAATACGAGCTTTAGACCGGAAAAGGAAGAATGTGGGTTTTGTTTTCCTGTAGCCTGAGCTAGAATCCTGGCTCTGCCGTTACTAGTAGAGCGTTGGCCATTCGTGGAGCTACTAAATGGAATTAATAAAGTCGGTTCTGGGATGGTTACATAGTTCAGTCCGTAAAAAGCTTGCTGGGCAGGCAATGTGTCTCAAAAAGCAAGGTGGAGGGCATCTGAGGAACCACATCTGAAGCTGACTTCTGACCTCCACATCACGCACACGAACACACACAAAAAGTCCTGAATACTGAAGTGTTCACAGGATTTAAAGAGCTAATGTGCAGCAAGGGCGAGGATAGCAGCTGGGAAGTGTGGCATGGTAGTGCTGGTTAAGCCTTAGCCCCGCTCCCCTAAGAACTGTGAGATGTGATGAAATTACCCAAAGGAGTGACTTCTGAAGGCATTTCCTTTGCATACATTCCAGGTTCGACTCTCAGAGCTGGAAATGCACCCTTGCCCAGGAAAAGTGTCTAATAATCCAACTGCACAAAGTGCATAGTGTAATCTCTGAAAACACATTCTTACTCTGCTTCTCGTCAACGCTGGAGTCTTGGACAGCTCCTTACCTCTGGAGAGGTCTTCATCTGAGTAGGGAGACTAGCAGTAGCTAAAAGCTTGATCTCTGGAGGTGGAAGGCCAGGGTCAAACCCTGGTTCTTGAACCCCAAATCTCTGAGCTCTAGGACAACACACTCATTCAACCGCTGGCCTCAGCCTGCCCACCTGTAAAGGAAGAATAATAGTATCGGACTGTGGACATTGTTGTGCAAATGAACTGTGAACCACTGGGAATGGGGTAAAACCCTGGTAACTGTGAACTATCATTACTACCAAAGAACTTATATAAACTGTGGACATCACAGTGAGAGGAGAAAACAGCCCCCAGTGGAAAGCTTGCACAATTGGTTTCCCCTGCAGTCTTGAAAATCAAACCATTCTCGGTATTCAAAGTCAAGGTGTGGGCCAGGGGGATGGCTCGGTGGGTAAAGGCACTTGCCACCAAGTCTGAAGTGAGAGAAGCAGTCATTTCTTCCCAACAGGTTTAAAAGCTGTGTGCCCGCTTCCCCCTAATGCTCCTGGCTCCTGAAAAGCCCCCTTTGTTAGTCATTTGTCAGATAGGCTTGTCGGACCAGGTGTAATTTGCTATCTAGAATCCCTGAGATGCTTAAAAGCATAAGATACCCCACATTCTCCCTCAGGTCTCTGCCCCTTTTCAGGCTGTTTTCTAGCTTAGCCAATCAGGGATAGATTGCAAGGTTGGACATCAACCAATGAGGAAAGGCCAAGATCCCCATGAACTGAGGATAGGACAGAGGGCATTTTGGCCATGTGTGACCTTCTAATCAAGCCTGGCACACCCTTTTGACAAAAAAGACTGCCTTGCTGGGTAACTTTTGATTTGGTCGTTTCTTTGTGTGACACCAAAATATTAATTTATCAACTAGACCCACACGGTAGAAAGAATTGATTTCTAAAAGTTGTCCTCTGACCTACACATGCAGCACACACACACACACACACACACACACACACACACACACACACACACAAATGTAGTCAAAGTCAAGGTATCTCACAGAAGGCTGTGGCATATCCAGCCAATCTGGAAAGTGAGACACCTGGCCACCACAGGACAGCATTTTGCCTTGGCGGTGTCTAGTTGGAGCTGGGGAGAGAGACTCCCCTCTTTTGTCGTGAAGCTCCATTTTCCTCTTGTGCAAGACAGAAAAGCCGGGGAGGAAAGCTAAGACTCTGGAACCGCAGCATTCTTAGGGTCCAAGGACCAAGGAAGGAGGGTGCAAGAACAAAAGGTTCAAAAGGGAGCAATATGCAGGGCGGCCAAGACTGGAGAGACTCTTGAGAAGGAGTAGGCTGTGGTCAGGATGGTCAGGGTAGTCTGAGGAGTTCCAGAAAGATGGGCCATAGGTTTACAATTTAGACAATGGAAGTCTCCATAGAGCGGCCAGGAATCCAGAACAGACTCCAAAAGAAGTGAAACAGAGAAGTGCAAGCAGCTGAGCATTCTCTTAGGAAGTATAATGAAGAAAGGGAAGCCTTAAAAACGCAGAAGCCTGCTGGAATAAAGGATAAGAGAAAACAGATAAGAGATATGTCATGGGAGGTGAACGGCTAAATACAGCTGGCACCACAATGTTGGCTTTCTGTCTTCTCTATTCTGCCTAGTAGTAGCTGAGGGAGTGCTTGGGAGGGGAGGGTGAGAGGATGGAGCCAAAAGATTTGGAACACACGTCAAGATGAGTGCAGAAGAGAGGCTAAGGTTGGCACCCAGACTGCAGATGTGATGGTTATCTGAGCCCTGCTCCACCTCAGAGGAAACTCTAATACGGATTCATCTTAAAGTGGCCTTTGGTTGGGCTTGTACAGCTGACTCCAGGATGTAAAGCCCCTGTAGGGGGCTGCTTTGAAGTGATGCTCCACAGTGATGGCAGAAAACAGAAGGATGCTGGATATTCACATTCAACCCATGATGTAGAAAGGTTCCAGCAAATGAGAATGAGAAGGATAAGTCAGTCTGAGGGTTCAGCGAGGTGAACTGGTACCATAGGCCCAAGAATGTGGTATTGAAATCCAGTCACAATGTTGTTTGTTTTTTACTCTTTTGGGGGGCCCACCACCCAGGTCCCAAATAAATCACGCACAGACTTATTCTTAATTATGAATGCCTGGCCTTAGCTTGGCTTGTTTCTTACTATCTTTCCTTAACTTTAAATTAGCCTGTCTACCTTTTGCCTGGGGCTTTTTCTGGTCTCTTCTGTAAATTTTATTCTTACTCTGTGTCTTGCTGTGTAGCTGGGTGGCTGGCCCCTGGAGTCCTCCTCCTTCTTGGGCTACTTCTTTTTTCCCTTTCTCCCAGATTTCTCCTTCTATATATTCTCTCTGCCTGCCAGCCCCACCTATCTCTCTCTCCTGCCTTGCTATTGGCCTTTCAGTTCTTTATTAGACCAGTCGGGTGTTTTAGACAGGCACAGTAACACAGCTTCACAGAGTTAAACAAATGCAGCACAAACAAGAGTAACATACCTTAAAATAATATTCTACAAACAATGTCTGCAGCAGTCCTTCACTCTCAAAGAGATGGGCACCTTCTGAGACATGGTCTGTGAATCTCTAACACCCTTTCCGGTGCCGGAATTTCTCAGCTAGGGAAGTGACTTTACATCAGAGAGAGTGTTGGTCTTGGAATCAGAAACTACAGGCTTGTGCTGTGAGACCACCCCCATCCTCAGAAAAGCATTACTCCTGCTTCTGCTATGTAGGCTCTTCAGATCCCCCTCCATGCTGTTGTCTGTCTGTCTGTCTATGGCATCAATAACTCTTCTAATAAACTTCATACTCCTGACATTTTGTTTTAATGTCCCTCTTGAACCCACATCCAAGACCTTTCAGTAGGAACAAGTATTGAGGAATAACTGAGGTCACCAGGGAGAACAGGCCTGTTACCCCAATAATGAAGACTCAAAGTCTCTTTTTGGCTCTGTGTTTACTGTTTTGATATACCAAGCACTGGACTATCCGCTCCATGACAATGTTGCTGCTCAGACGCTCCCAGGAAAGTTGAGTCTAAAATGTCAGAGAGTTTTGCTCACACAAAGTGCCGTGCAAGACAGAGGACATTGAGGGGGTGGTTAAGGCCTGAGCTGAAGAAGAAGCTTCAGGTCAGGGGTCACACTGAGCGGGTGGGTCATTTGCCTGAATGCCATGGAAGGGATCAGAGAAATCATGAGCTTAACTTTGTAGTGCAGAGAAAGAGCTTTGATGTGTTCTTTTCAGTTATTCCTGGAACAGGTACAGAAGCTGTGTGTTGGGCCTCAAAGCTTTGGCAGCTTCCAGAGAATCTTCAGATCACACTCAATGAACCACAGAGCTGTGAGACTAGAAGTCAACAACATGCCAGGCCAGAAGCCCGTGAGCAAACTGAGCCTGAAATCAGTTACTGCCGCTGCTTCTGAGGAAGGGGCCAGGAAGTCAGGCGACTTTTTTCTTTTTTCTTTTTTACTGTAAGCACCTATTTGCAAAACAATAAAATTGAAAATTGTAAGTATACATCTGAGTTTTCTTTCCGAAGCTAGGTGATGCTCATGGCAAATGTACCTACAGGTGTTCGTTATATTTGTCTTTATGACCCTTCTGAATGATAAAATATTTTTGTTATACATTTTTTTAAAAGAAAAATAACCTATTCGGAAACTGAAAATTACATGCAGGTTAACGAGAAAAGCAGTCTGGTAATTGCAAAGCACTCAGAAGTGAGTGTCCACAGCTAGCATGGCAAAACAGCCTACAGACTAGGAACAAAAGCCATCATTCCCTGATGCATCCAACAGACATTAGGAGGGAACTCTTGTTAATGGCAGTATCACAGGGGTCAGTGACTCAGTTAAGTAGCAGGAAAATGTCAGCTGAATAAACACAGAGGAAGCAGAAGGAAGGGTATAATAATAATTTTTTTTTTCCAGAGCTGAGGACCAAACCCAAGGCCTTGCGCTTGCTAGGCAAGTGCTCTACCACTGAGCTAAATCCCCAACCCCAATAATTTTTTTTTAAGCAGAAATGAGTACAAAATGAAGTTATAAAAAGCAAAAGCTGGTGCTCTGCTACGGACCCGTGAAATAAACTTCT